CTCCTAAACCGTCGGTCCTACGGGAAAATTGCATCAGATCTTTCTTGTAGAGGACGACGAGATCTACAATTTCCGTCTAAGAACTTTACGCTAGCATTAATAGTTTCCGAGTTATTGACAAAAAACGTAAAAATAGTTTTTTGCAAATTACTCGTAAACTATTGATGCTAACGAAAAACTTTTATACAGAAATTGTAGATCTCGTCGTCCTCTACAAGAAAGATCTGATGCAATTTTCCCGTAGGACCGACGGTTTAGGAGTTATTGAGGAAAAACGAAATTTTGGAAGAAATTGAAGGGAATACCCCTTGGAAAAATCTCGGAAAAATCGAAAAATTTTTGTTGTTGTTTATTATTAGCAATATTCTTCCGACGTCTGATTTCTTTTTAAGAAATGCATTTCTAAAGTGCATAAACTTTTGGGATTGACTGTATAGCCAATACATCCTTAAGTATTTCGCATTAATACTTACAAGTATGATTTAGTATAGTGTATAGAGAAGAACAATTGAAACGTAAAATCGTGTCGGGGTTAAATTATAAATGGTGAAAAAGTGCTTACCAAGTGTCGCCATTCAACCTTGTAAACTTGCGGATGGGCATGAATCAGACAATCGAAGTAGACGTCGGTGCCCTCGCGGATCGCGTTCGGATTCAGCGACGTGCCCAGCTGTATCCGCGTTTCCGGCGTGTCTGTAAATTGAGAACGTCAATATGTCGGCGGTGGCTGTGGCGAATAATCGGTAACGGATCGACACAGGCTTGCGGGGGATACAGGGACGGGTTTCCACCGGAGGTAGTGTGTCTTTAATACGCTTACACTGTATCTCGAGCACCCAGCCGTTCTCTATCGGCGCGGTTCCCATGATTGGATTTTCAGACCGACACGACAAGTGCCTACCAGCATCTGCCTTGGTCGCCATGAAAGATAAGATACTAGTGGTCGTGTTGCCATCGCTCGATGTCTGAAACAGAGTTACGATAACTTTTTTTTCTGCGGTTTCCACCTATTTTTTAAAGTCCTCTTTACGTATAGCACTTCACAAGAGACACGAGGGTGGAGAGTACCAAGTACATGTCATTGGCTAGACGTATAAGCAATTGTTGATACCACTGTATTGATTTATAGTATCAGTCTCCTATAGTTTTTATTTCATGTTGATGGGGCAATCGTGTTCTACAAGAGGCTGGTTTACACCTGAGCAAATATTTGCGTTGAATGTTAAATTGCACTTGTGATTCAAAGTTTGGAGAGGTCTCAAAGACGGATAAGTGGCACGCGAATAGTTCAGCGAACGGTATGGAACTCTGAACTAAACTTATTTCCGCTTGCACACAGGATGATACACTTCAAAATGTTATCTTTGCTTGTATGGTTCTGGACCACTCGGTGGTAAACTTCGACCTAGTATCGTATGTAGCGTTCTGTCTCCGGCGTAGGCTTAGAAAAGCACGTTTCGAGTGCGTTATCCAGCAGAAATGGCTTAGTTTACTGTTTCCTTAGTATGAAGTGTCCATAAGACTTGGGACAGTTTACGGCCGGATCTGTTTAGTTTTACGATACATTTTACGGCGTTCAACTCGAGAAACTGACTTGCATAAAGTGCATACGTGATGCGGGTTGGTACTCGGGCTCTGGTCGTTATTGTTCTTGATGTGATTGAAATCAGTACGCACGCCATCAGTCACAAACACTTACAGCCGAGCGTGAAATGTTTCTTCGCAACTTTCGGCAATCAGTCTTCGAGAATTAGATTAAAAAATTAAATGCCTCGACATTGACGGATGATTGCTTCGCTTAGGAATTCTTTCGCTAATTTCATTATCTCTGACAGTGGCATTTCGATATGGCGATTTATCTTCGAAAGAAACTTTGGAGGTTCTTCCCTACTTTTTACTATCATCTTCCCCAATGACGTAGCAATATGTTATCGTTAATCGCCGACGAATCGAAGGCTAGATTCCTATCGAGAATGAACCAAGTCTACCACGACTTCTTTTTATTTCCTTTTTTCTCCCCCTCACTTTTCATCGCTTTAACGCCCTCGGGTTTTCTCGATAAACAGAATGTCAATTTCACGGTTCAATCATAAACCGAGTTATCAATTTCCCAACTCGGGTTATGAATTTTAATTTTCGTCGACGATTTTCTTGCCGTGTTACACTCTGCGTCCTCTGATCGAGGAAATAAATATTTGAGACGCGGAGATTGAGAGGCTGACGGAGATAAAATAAAAAAATGAAAGACATTTTCCCGGAGGAGGAAACAGAGAAAATATTGTTCCAAAGTCGATGCCTCTCATTCTTCAGGACTTTGCTCTACCGCTTATATAAGAAAGTTAAACAAAAGAGGATGAGGCGTAAGAAGAAACACGGGGTGGAAGTATAATCTATAAGAGTACGTCGAAGGAAACGAGATCGTTCCTTTCCCACGTCTCTCTCTCTCTCTCTCTCTCTCTCTCTCGCTGCTTCTCTCTTACTTTACCTCCGTAATCTTGGACTTCGCCAAGTTTCGTTTCGGGTTTGCGTTAACACGCTTACTTGCATCTTCGTTGGCTTACATTTCCCACTACTTTAAAACTATCTTCACCAATCTTTTTCGCTATCAAACGCCACGCCGATATGAACTACCAGATTTGTATAAACTTCGACTTCAAATTAAGCTTTCACGTGTTTATAATATTTTCGCTCGTGATTTGACGTAGATACTTGGTTGATTTTTATTTTTTAAATTCAGGATAAAGATGGAGATCCTTTAACGCGATTTATCTGCTGTCGGGTTTGTTTCTCATCCCAATTGGTCCATCCAATTTGCCTTAATTACGCCTGGACTGAGTCAGGGAGGGCGCATACGATCGTGAACCAGCGTTATCACGTCACCAGTTCGCCTCGATTTAAATTATTCGGCCGTCTAATGGTGCTTTTAACTCGGGTTTAAGCCGCAGCTCGCGGTAACGATACTCCGGCACGCTATCGGGTCGCGGATCGAAACACGCGCGAGGTACACGCACGCGGGTGTACACCTATTATGGTTCCTTCCTAGAGGTCACTCAGGATTACAAATTACATCGAGTGCACGCTACATCGAATGGTTCACCCTTTACAATCATCATTGATTCCCGCATGACTGGTCTTCTATTGTGAAAGCGATATATACTGTCGAAAATGTTAAGCTACGTTCACGGACAACGCTAATTTTTTTACAAGGAGGAATGTAGATTTTTGTTAAACAGTATGTAATTCCACTAATCTTTGATAATGTTTTCCAAATCCCCCACAGAGTACGTTTTGAGAACTCGAGCACTTTAATCGGATAGACGAAGGATTTATACAAGTACATGTCTGTCTTGGTCTACTTACGGTCTCTTTGGATTCTATTAAACGCTGACCGTTCCTCCACCAGGTTACAGTCGCCGGTGGCCTGGAGCCGGAAGTGATGCAGACCAGTTCGTATCTCTTACCGGCAGACAGCGGCTGGTTCGATCCGATTATATTCACGTCCAGGGGACTGACTGTAAATGTAACGATACATCTGGTTATAGACAGTGTTTAACAAAACGCGAGGCAATTGTTGATTCTTAATACAAACTCGAAGCTGTACAGTTCATAAACTGATCTACGCTTTAAGTTAAGAATTTCTAAGACAAACGTCTATTCGGAAACGCTTGGACCGAGCTGGTTCCTCTGGCTTGAATTGCTTCTGCTGACGTAACAGTTTTGAAGTTGAGCGGGACTGTGTGTACGGTTTGGTTATTCGGAATCCGGTGAAAATGAGAGGGAAAAATAGAACGGGGCACAGAGGAGAACGCGACGGTATATATATGTATATCTTATCAGAAACGAGAAGTAGAGACTGTTCGGTCAAGTAGAATTGGACAGTGTGTGAATAGACAAGTAGTGCTTGGATTTACGTAGTTGGATAGACAAGTGGTACGGAACATCAAATAGATTAACAGTTGAATGAAATTGCAAACTAAATAGCATCCGTGCAATAAGAGAGGTAATCCTCGCTCGGATTAAATTGTTTCTCCTATGGAAATAATCGATTGCGAATTTTGGTCTTGAAAATAAATGATATTGAAATATCTTTTCTTCAAGTTCCTGGTATATTTATGGTGGATATCGGACACTGTATCGTTGCTTTTTACGTGGGTAATTGTTTGCATTATAAAACTCGAGGTATCGATTTTTCCTTACCCTCAACATATCCTTTAGTATTTTTTTCTCAGCTTCAAACCCCTTTATTCTGCTCTACATACCTCGTGAAACGTCAGTTCAGATAAAATCCGATAACATAATAACTCAATTTAGCCTTAATCAATCTCCACACTTGACACGTCGTGTATCAGCTCGTAGACGCGATTAGAGCATTGTAATTTTTCTGAAGATTAGCTGCAATTTACAACAAATGTATAACACTTGATTCTAGTCATTTTACGGGGAGTCTATATTTCATTTGGGACAAGGAATAACAAACAAGGATGAAAGTAATACTAATTGACGATTGCTTGTAATCGGGAGGATTTTTAAAAGAAACGTCGCACCGTACGGAGGGTAAATCTCTTAAGATTTGATTTAATTTTCTGCTCTAGAATACCGCGCCCGTCAGTTCGGAACGAAAAGAGAGTCGTAATTAATCCTCGTTCCATTATGTCTTCACATAATTGAACGATAACGTCGCGCCGAGAATTAAGTATCCTCCATCTGTTCGGTTTCTTTGCTCCTTTTTCCTCTCTTTCTTTCTCTCTTTCTTTCGGCCAGTGTACAGTCGCCGCCGCGACAAATTGACGTTGATAAATTCTCTTTGTTATAAAACCATACATCATCGGTCGTCGGAACTTCCTGTCGTAGACTTCGTCTGCAGAAGGGTGAATCGAGTTATTCAGGAAAATTGTGTCCATCCGGGTTCGCGTTTTACGTGACACGGTCTGCGCGCCAGCCTTCCATTCATGCCACGCGTATTCGAAATTCCCTCCGTTTAGTGTATCGAGAAATTCCTCTTGCATGCGACCAACCGTGAACGCCGTGCCGCGGTGTCTGCTCGCGTTTGTTCGAGACAACACGCTCGGATTTGCTTGCGCGCGTGTAAACCGGCGAGAGAGAGAGGCCAGTCGCTTTGAGAACGTCGCTTCTAAGATACGCGTCTTGAGTTCGATTGATAAAAGTTACTGCGAAATGGGAAAACAGGTAGTCGGTCGCCTTTGAAGAGGCACCCTTCGAATTCGGTGATTATTCAAACGTAGAACATGTTAGACTTGTTCGAAATTTCGTTTCCGGTTTGAGTATATAGGGAATAGTATCGGACAAGGCGAAGTTCTCGATATTTTTTTTATTGTCGTATTTCTGAATTAAACGGGGATTTCGATTGGATCCGGAGAAACTTTTAAAGGGAACGTTGGACGGCAAGTAGAACAAACCAATATCGAATCGAACAAGTAGAACGGGGCGTTATTGGCCAGACGCTTCAGGAACTGTACGTGTATCTGCTTATATTTTCTTCTTTATATTTTTACGAACTCAAAGTTCTTTAGTATATTTTTGTCGGCTTTGAGGGAAGAACAAAACGCTTTTGTCTCGTGTGTTGATCGAACAAGGAGGGATCGGGTTAATCTAGCACAGACGTGGCGCGCAGCTGGGTCGGCCCGGTCGACTAATATTTCAAATATTCCATTCTGTCACCGGCAATGGCCAGGGGACGTAGGCCTACGGTCCCTCTTGAGCTGCGGTCGTGGCTAATTTACATGACTTGCATCGGGCTAATTCGAGAGACGGTCGATAGCGCCGGCTAAAGGGATTGAAACGATGTTTACTTTATTATGTAATCATGGGGAAACTCAATATTGACCGTGGGACATCCGGAAGCCGCTTTAGAAACGCCTTATGGCTCTTTTAACGGCCGTCTGTCCTTTCCGTTCCGTGTCCTTGCGTGGATTGAACGGATTGAAAGTATCGGTAGCCCATCTTGTATCGATCCCTGAACATTTTCAATCGACATTCACGTTAGGTATCGTTAAGAAAGCGCTTTGTAATTTCTCAAGGGTCATTTTCGTTACTTACATTTCTTGAACGTTTAGGATAATCCTACCATTAAAAGAGAAGTATATTAACGGGGATAAGATTTAATCTTCTTTCGCGACTTACCGGACGTTACTTCCACGATAAATTAATATCTCCAAGGAAGAACAACTCGAGACTCCGTTAAGAAACTTTAAGAAGAGTCTCCGACTGTTAGGAATCTTTATCGCTTCGGAAAAAGGACAAACTGCGAATTCTACAAACGAATGAAGTTGGTTTATAAAGCTCTCCCGGCTTTGTGTAACATTATTGCTCTAGTCGTTATTTATTATTCAACCGGAGTAGAAACAAGAGAGGGAAATGGCAGAAGTTCACAAAATGGGGCGCATAAAACATTTCTAATTAAATGTTTTCCTATCAGTTCCGCGTCTAATGAATTTCATTGTACATCGCCTCGCTTCGATTCGAGTATCTTTTTAATTAATTCGCATACGATCTTAACGATTGCGTAAAAATTTCATTTTAAACAAGAGTTTACGAATGTAACGAGAATTAAAATGTCTGCTACTATCTCCTGATAACAAATTTCCTGTGCGTTTGTGCTAGCGAGAAACGGCTGGAGTCATTGAAACTGTCCGTACACCTAACGAGCATTGTTCCCATGGCGATACTTGTATTGCTAGCCGACGCCCACAAAGGTTGCGGGAGGAAATTTGCTTTACGCAACGGTCCGTATCTCTCCAACGCTCTCGTCTCTGACATTTCGCGTTCAACTTTTCCTTTTGTGACTTCGGGACCCACGCTCCCCGCGACTTTTCCGCGCGAGTTACCACGTACACGCGTCCCTTTGTCGATTTTCCGGGAAACGCTCGACGATTATTTCCCGTGCGAATCTCCGTTCATGAAGGACACGTGAGATTTTCGGAATTGTCGGAACCGAGCGCTGTTGAAAGCATTGCAGATCGCCGAACTCTTTGATCAATATAACTCGAGCGGCGTTCCAAATGAACAGAATATTAAAAAAAATTCTTTAATGAATTACGGAATTGTACAACGTGTAGGGTCAAAGGTAAATGGTCAAAGAGTCTGTCGCATCTAGTTTTTCTCCGCTTTTATCCGAACACACAGAAAAATATGTCCACCTTTCGCGTAAAATAAACGAGTGCACTTTTTATATGTATAAATGAAAAAGGTCGATCAAAGGTCCAAACACGCGAAGAGTTCAGCTTTGACACGATGCAATCTTTTTTCAAGTATCAAATATTCCAATACCCTTTTTCATATTATTGACAAGTTTCTCTCGTATAATATTTTTTTCAATTGACCTCGAGTAGTATAAATTTAACTCCGTTTTTATGTTCTCTCTGGCGGGCCATAGGGCGATGTTGCAGCTGCTGTTTCGATTACTCGTATTCCGGTTGCGGTCTGTCCGAGTTACGAGATCTAAAATAAATTTAATACTACAATTTTGGCTGCCGCGCGTGTAGCACGTCGCATTAGCGCGACCCGAGTTCGTTGAAATGTAGACACTCTTTGAAACAGGATATCCCTTCCACTGTATTATTGTTGTTTAAGCAGGTACGCTACATTTCCGCGACGTATTGTCGCATTCAAAACAGTCATTATCAAAATCTCATATCGAAACACTGCGCGATCTTCAAATCGCAAGTTTATTTTATCTAAAACGGGAGTTTGTTAGTATTTGGGGACGTGAAAGAAGTCCCTGTTCTTGTCGAGCTATGCTTTTTGCTCCGAGTTTTTCGGGACAAGGGTCCATCAACGTAGGACGTTCAAAAAAGGAGAACGAAAAACTCGGCGTGAAAAAGGATCAGGAAGCGTTCAGTCACGATAGCCTGATGGACGAGCGTTCTATGCGTATAGACACCTGTTAGCACATCAGACTCACCGAAGGTATTATATCATTTGATAGATGTTGGATCGGTGACCTAAATCGGGAGCGCAAACTGATAGCTTTTAACGTTTATGTATCTTATTCTTCCGTTTTTTTATTATACTATTAGCCACTTGACTATGTAATTTCAATTGAAAAAACAATTGAAATGATTCTTGTAATCCCTTCGGCTGTTCAATCCATTACACGAACTGCAACAGTAGTTATTCTGTTCGCGTTCTAAGAAAGGCGGACAAGCAACCCCCAGAATCCGACAACTCGTTTCGACTCGTGTTTCGTTCGTGTTTCGTCGAAGAGCAATGGAACATCGAAGAACAACTGCGAACTCCGCAACTCGTCCGACCGCGGCGTACACGAAATTACCATATTTTCCCATTCCCTCGGCGTTCGTCCATTCTACCGTTTTTAACATTCTCAGGGGGAGAGAGAGAGAGAGAGAGAGCGAGCACATACAAAGACGAACGCACAAAGCAAACGTAAGAAGAGATACGAGAGCCACACAACCGCGTGGCTCCTTTCAACCGAAGAACCTTACGAGTGTTCGGTCGGTCGGGAACTTTTCAAGGGAAGTTTGCGAGGGTGAAA